TTCAGTGTGTTCTTCGGTTCCAGAATTTTCCTTTGGTTCTTCTTTGTGATTGTCGTCTTTGTTAAACTTCTAATTTTGTGTGTGTATTGTTCTCCTGATTGAATTCTTTCTTTGTGTTATTTTATCTCATTGAGCTTCCTTAAAACAGTTATTTTGAATTCTTTCCCGGGTATACGGCCGATCTCCAGGTCTTTGGGTTAAGTTACTGGCAGATCGTTGCGATCCTTTGGTGTCGTCACGGTTCCTGGTTCCCATTCCTCGAAGTCTGCGTTGCTGTTTTCACATCTGAAGGTGCAGTCGCGTCCTCCAGTCCCTGCCAGCTGCCTCTGGGAGAGAAATGCAGGCCTTCGGCCCTGCTGGGGTTCTGCGTCTCAGACCTCCTGTGGGTGTGCCCGCTCCACGTTCCTTGCCCGCTCTCGTGGCAGGATTCCTACGCTTGGATGCCTTCCCCTGATCTTACAATGCACCAGGCGGGTGCGGACACCCCCTTTTGTTTCCCAAAGGTGGTGCTGCAGCTCAAGTTTGTTGTCTCTGCTTGCCCACAGTTGCGGGCCCATTCTGTGTGTGCGCTCACTGTTCCTTTGCCCAAACTTGCTCTCGCCACCGCCGGCCACACACCGGGAGCTGCTCACAGGGTGGGAGTGTGTGAGTGAGGTGCGGGGTGCCCGTGGGCCAGCTGGGGGACCCGCAGGCAGGATGTGCCTAGCGGCTCCTGGGCAAGCTCCTTGATAGAGTCTGCAATGCGGTAAGCAGTGTGCACGTCCCCTTGAAGCCCCCCGAGAGTTCCATCTGCCCCAGCAGCCGCACTGTTCAGTACTCTGGCTGGGGCAGGAGAGGAAGAGACCCGTGTCTGCATCGCGCAGCTAGAGAAGTCGGCGTCGCTTGCGAGCTCTCGCTGTCCCCCGAGGGACGAGTCGTGGGCTGAGAAGGTCTCTCCTGGCCCTCAGCTACGCTGCCCTAGGGGAGGGGTGGTGCGGGTAAAGTCGACCCTGGACTGTGAGCCTGACGCTAGGGTTGGATGAGCCTCTCGGGGACCTTGGGAGGTGTCAGGTGGAGAGATGTGACTCGCTGCGGCCAGACGGTGGACTGCCACAGTACTGACTACAAAAATGGCCTCGATCCTCCACCCCTCCCTTTGTGCGGGCCCTCTGGAAGTGACCTCACCATACCTCTTACCAGAGGGACAGTTTCTTTCCCTGTCCCTTGAATCTTACTGCCCTTGTGACTTCCCCGCCCCCCCACCCCCATAGAATGCGTCAAAAGTTGCAGTGCACTAGCTGTATGCCTGGTCCTGATTGTGCTTGTCATCTAGGCCAGCCCCGCTACCCTTCCCAGAGATGAGAGGCTTGATGGAGTAGAGATGAGCCATCCCGGGTCAGCCAAACTGGTTTGTTCTCTTCCAACCAGGCAGCTGGCCAGAGACACAGAGCAAAGGCCGGCCGACATGGGAAGACCACCCAGCTGAGAGCAGCCCAGACAGTCAGCCCACAGAATCACGAGCTGAGCAAATGCTCATTGTTTCAGGCCACAAAATTTTCTGTTTGTTATGCATTATTATGGCAATGGATAACAGAGACAGTTACTAACAACATAGCTAACTCCTTTGGGAAAATTACCAAGACGGTACAAAACCAAATGGCTATCCCTTTTTATCCCAGCTTTAAACAATTAATATGCTGTCATTATTTTTTAACTTTCAGGGAAGTACAAACTTGGTTATAATTTAACTAGCCACATTAAGAAATCGAAAAAACAAATTATACAGCACTGAAATTTCAGTTGTGGGTGTTGGAAAACATGCTAAAAAATTAAATAGTAAAATATCAAGGCATCATGTTAATGATGAGATTTACAGTTTACTTTTATATAACGGTAATGATGGTAAAAGCCACTGAAACAATACCTTTGTAGACATATATTAACAGGTAATAGCACACGACAAAATAAAATCTAAGCAGCACCAGAAGAGACACAAAGGGGAAGATTATGAAAACAGGAATAAACTTAAAAACATTTCAATTGACTTGATTATAACTAAACAGAAAAGGTACAGGTTATCATGGAATGTGGTGAGACCTTGAGGTAAGTCTTGTTGGCACAAGTACTATGAGAATTCAAAGTGTGAGACAAATGATTTAGCACCTCGAAATGATGAAAACGATTAAGTGTGTTTAATTCTGACAGTCAAGCACAGCTCTTTACATTTTCATTCATACATGCTCCCTGTTTTGTGATATAATGCATGATTCCTCTTAAATTATTATTTGATCTCCCAAGTACACAGTTTAAAAAAAAATTGTACTTAATTCTCAAGGTTGTAACCTACTACATGAAGGTAGTGAAGCGTCAAGGTCAGTTTAAATACACATATTACAGTTAATTGCATCTGTTAGAATGTGTGTTGTAGAACATTTCATATGCTGTAAACCACGACTGTAAAGGATGTTTAATTTGCTCGTGCATTTGGTAGTGACAGGCTCCTCTAGGACCCCTGTGGTCTTGGTACTGTTATCCCATCCAGAAGAGAAATTGTAAACTCCCCTGATGCCTGAGAAGTACCCCAGACCACTGTGCCAGCTCGGTTAGAAGTGATGTTTACGGCAGATTCGTTTTTTAGAAACACCGAAGTCTCCTGCTTCCACCGTGGTCACTGCGCAGTGTCACCTCCTCTGCTGGTACTCTCTTGCAATGCTCCCTGCGAGTCTCCTGCTTTGCTCTTGCCCCTTCTCCCTCTCCTGTTCCCCAACCCTGTTGTCTTTTGTTCTGTGATACACAAACTCTCTTCTGTCTTCTGCCTCCATGAAAGCCTTCTACCTGAGCACCTGTAAGGAAGCCCAGCTCTCTCTCACGTGTTCTGCTTTGCCAGCTGCCTCTAAGTCTGGGTGTAAATTCATTCTTGATTCAAACAGGAAGTGGGGTTCAGGTCAGCAGTCTTCTAGTTTCCTGTGCTTCCTGCCTCTCATTACCCCTTCACTTTTTAAGTAAAAATAGCTAGCTGCTCCTTCAAGACAGTCAGTTAGTTGTTCCACTTATTTATTTAGCAAATATTGATTGAGCACTGACCTCGTGCTAGGTTCTGTGACCTGCAGCATGAGGAATCAGTCCCTGTCCTCATGGCATCTGTAGTCTGGAGATGACATTAAACAAATAATCGTGGTGCCGTTAAGGCAAATAACAGAATGTCAGAGATGACTCTGCTGGGGTGAAACTAGGTAATTAGGAACAGTGAAGAGATGGGGTTGTGGGGAGAACATTTCAGGCAGGAAGAAGAGCATGTGCTAAGGTCCTGTGGTTAGTAAGAGCACTGTGCCAATGAAGCGGAGGGGCTGTCAGTCACGGCTAGAGCAGAGAATTAGCTGGGCCTGGTAGGGAATGAGGCTGCAGGGAATGTGGAGCCAGACCACATGCAATTTTGCAGTGTATGATTAGGATTTGGTCTTTGTCTTGAGAGCTGTGAGAGGCCACCTGTTGGTTTAAGCAGGGGAATGAAGTGATCCTATTTGTGTTCTGAAAATATCTCTCTGGCTTTAGTGTGGAAAGTGGATCAGTGGGTAACAAGGCAGTCGTGGAGACCAGCAAGCAGAGGGACCGCTGTGGTTGGATTATGGCGTTGGCCACGGGAGGTGGAGAGAAGGGGCGTCGAGGAGAGGGATTAAGTGAGTAGATGAACAGTGTGGAACATGGGGGCCACGGGTCCCAAGAAATCATCTGTGCAACTGGTGACTGGCGATGCCACTCCGTGAGCAAAAGAACACTGGGAAAGAGCAGTATCTTGGGTTGAAACCAGCATTTCAGGCGCCTCTGGCTTGTCTAGCCATACGGGTTACGAGGGCTCACTTCCGGCGACCCCGGCTCTAAGCCCGCCTCAGACACGCACGGCGACGCCACGTCCGGGACCGGGATCTGAACCGAAGCCCTCTCGTGTCTTGAAGGGATATTTACTGAGAACCTGTCAGGCACCAGGCAGATCGAATGGCCCAGGTACAGCACGGGAAAGACCCAGAACCGCCCCTACCTCCCCTACCTCGTCTGGAGGAAAAGCCTAACATTAAGCGAGCACGCGTCATCTCCCGTGGTCTGGATTCCACCCGGACAAATTTGGTCAGCGACCCACCCCGCGCCGCCCAGACTCCAGAGCCCGCTCGCAGGGTGTCGCGAAACCACGTTCTGCGCATGCCCAGGGCCGGCGCGTCGGCGAGGCGGGCCGGGTGCGCGTCACTGCGCCGCGACTGCCCCGTGACGTCACTGCCCGGCGCCGTCAGGAATAGGCTCCGGGCCACGCACGTGGGTGGCGGTGCGACGGCCGAGCTCATGGCGAGTTTCGCGGGGCTGGCTGTGTGCGGGCAGGCACTGGTGGTGCGGGGAGGCAGCCGCTTCCTGGCCACCTGCACTGCGAGCAGGTGAGGGGTCGGGGCTTGGAGCAGGGCGCCCAGGCTTCGGGCGCGCGTCGGTGCCGGAAGACCCCGATTCCCCTGCGCCGCCGGGGCCGCGTCCGTGCCGGGGTGACCCGTGGGGAGCCCTGCCGCTGCCTTCTGGCCCTCCGCCACCGCCTTGGCCCGGCCGTGTGCCCTCCGCGCCCTTACCCCAGGACCCGCCCCTGGCGAGCATCTCGCCGCCTGCCCAGGGTCCCGCCCCCTCGGTGGCGGGTCTGCGGCGCTCTCGGTCAGGTTCTGCGGGGACCGGGAGCGGCCGGGTCACGTAGGGCGACGTGGTTCAGGCTCGGGCCAGTGCGGGGTCCCGGGTTCACTGGCCAGATATGCCGTGGGACGTAAGGAACAAGGCATCTATCTACCCCGCCCTACTTACGCGACAATTCCTTACTCGAAGGTGCACCCAGAGTCAGCAGTGCGCACCTGCCTGGTGGACCTTTCTCTGATTTCACGCTCCTTCCTTATCGTTCCCCGCTGTGTACACAGCGCCCGGGATTTTTTAAATCAGGAAATGTGTGTTGCTCCAGTAACCCGGACCCGAGGAGCCTCATGGTTATTAGTACTCGTCAGTTTCAGCCCCTTGTTTCTTTTTTCCCCCGAGTTTTGATTCTCTCGTAGTTGAAACAGATGTGCGTAACGAGTGCAGTCAGTGCTTTTAGTTGGGTGTTTGGTTTAAGAAATCCAGTTTAATGTAATATTTAGATTTCACACAGAATCTATTCACCAGCCTATCATGTATCCCAGATTAGTTTTTGATGCTCACAGTATCTAACATGCCACAGTGAGACATCGATCTGCTTGCTTCTGTCTGTGCCTTTGGAGGAAATTTAGTGGCCAGCAAAGTTTCTCGCTTGGAGGACTGCCGCTCTTTCCACAGCATTTCATACAAAAAGTTTAAAGTACAGTCACTTTAAAGGCGATAAGTGTGTGTGAGTTGCCTTCCTCATGCCAGGCCCTGGAGGTGGATGGGATAAACAAGCGAGCTCAGGGTCTGACGGTGAAGGTGATGTGTTGGTGAATGCTGGGCAGCCATGAGAGCTTTTCTGGGTAGATGAGACATTTTTCTAAGCAGGAAATGGCAGTTTTAAATTTGGGTGTGAAAGGCCCACTGACAACAATATTATAACAATATCTTTTAACATAACCATCTTGCATTGATGTTCTAGTGCCTGAAGGAATAATATATTACCTCCTGTCAAGTTTTTGTCCTCATTTTTTTTACTCAACTGGTTTTTTTTTGGTACAGAACCACACCCGTCAATGTATGGCAAATCTAAATAGGAGATTAAGCAAATAAAGCTTCCTAAGTGTTCCCCGAAATATTGTACCCAGGCAATTTATTGGCATGACTTCGACCCTTAATTTAATGAGTATGCAAATATAAACATTTTCGTTAACAGAGTTCTCCTTTAAAAAAATATGTTCTTTTTTGTAGTGATGATGATAGCTTCTTCACGTATGATTGCAGTTCTGCAGAAAAGAAGTCACAAGAAAATAAAGGGTGAGATGATGGGGAAGCCTCTTCAGGGTTTGATTCGTGGCCGAACTAATGGGACCGATAGCCTAAGGAGTCAGTTGTTGTCTGCTCTCTGAGCTCTTCATTTCTCTCTGCCTTGCTGTGTGGACAAACCAGGTACCACCTCAGGAAAGATGGGGAACTAACTTTCAAAGGAGGCATTAAGAGTGTTAGGACTTTTCTAAATAATTGTGTCTACGGCCACGCCACCCTGAACAAGCCCGATCCCGTCTCTGATCTTGGAAACTAAGCAGGGTCGGGCCAGGTTAGTACTAGGATGGGAGACCACCTAGGAAGACCAGGTGCTGTAGGCGCAAAAAAAAATAAATAAATAAAAATAAAAATAAATGTAATTAATTCTGTCAGTGACGATTTTATTGGGACCTTCAAGTAATGCATTCAATTTTAAATGCATTGGAGACAGTGGTATGAAATTAACTTTTGCTAGTTGAAAGGTAAGAGAAGCAGAGTGTGTCGATTTTGCACAGTGGCTTCCTTTAGTCGAATCAGCCTTGTGGCTCGGTTCATTTTTTTAAATATGATGTAATCTCTCCCTCTGGCCCTGGATTAGTTCTGTCCGTGGGGAGTGGGCCATGTGGGCTCTGAGGGTCCTTCCAGCTCAGTCTGGTGGGTATGCTGAGAGCTCTTCCTCTTTAGTTAGAGCTTTTACTCCTTCAAAGGCAGAACTGTTTCGAACCCCCCAGATCCCCTTTCTGTCTTAGATTTCGGCTCCATGAACCTCACGGTGTTTTCTGTCTCTTCTCACAACGTGAATGAAAAATGCCGGCCTGTAGGAACAGCCTTAATCACTCGGGGGGGCGCCTAACTGTCCTTTCTTCCTCAGGGAGGACAGACGGCCAGTGGATAAGGGGAGTGACACGATTCTGGCGTCCGCCTTCTCCACGTCTGGCAGCTACTTTGCTTTGACTGATGACAGTAAGCGTCTGATTCTTTTCCGTACAAAACCATGGCAATGTCTGAGTGTCAGGTATGAAATGCTAACGTCGGGTAATGACAATGTCAAATGCACAGCTTGTGCTTGCATGCCGATGACAGTCGTGACAGTAACTGACAGCAGCTAACACGCAGTGCCAGTTGTGTGCCCGGCACTGTTTTTAGCGCTTTCCACGTGTTACCCGATTTAACCCTCATAACGGCCATGTGACAGGGCAGGGCCATTGTTCTCTGCCACGGCCACCGGCCAGGGGTCTGGAAGCGGATCCCAGCCAGCCAGCTTGGAGAGGCCGGACGGGTCCCTGAACCTGGTCTCTCTGGCTCCAGAGCCAGTGCCCTGGCCACTGCGCCATCCTGCTTTCCAAATTGGTGTCCCTCCAGCCAGCGGTGGCAGAGATGGAGGTCAGCACGCACTCTGAGTGTATCAGGGTCCTCGCGAGCTGACGCACTGTGGGATTGGGGTCAGCGCGCTTATCTCTAAGTACCCGAGGGTCGGTGGGAGCTCAGCGTGGGAGCGGGAGGGGGAAGCACCTCGGCAAGAACACGGGTCACGGGTCCTCAGTTTCCCCTCTTCCACCGAATTCCTGGGGCCGCTCCTCAGACTCCGCGTCACCTCCCGAAAAAGAGGGGCGCTGCGGATTCTCGAAGCCTCGTCCCCCGAGAGCTTCCTCGTCCTGTCACCGCCGTGTTCAGGAGAGGAGGCGGCACTGCTGACCCACGGCGCCGGGCAGGTGTCAATTTCTTTTACCTCCGACAGTCTCCTGTGTGCAGGTTCTGTTTCCTTGAGAGGGTGAAGGCTGGAACTAGTCCAGGTGTGCCGTGACGCTGCTAGAAACAGCCACAGGGAGCAGAGCCAGCCCGGCCCCTCACTGTCACCTCCCTGAGGCCTCACGGTTTAACTGTCCCTCGATAGAGATACAGCCGTGCAGGGTATCGTGCTTGAACTTCTAAACAACGAGGGTTAAAGGATTTTCCTTTGTAGCTGGCTCACACCTGTCCTGGGGACAGCTACGCTTTTTAGAAATCGATTTCATCTTATTTTCTAAGGGGAATAAAAGGCCAGTTCCCGGCAGCATCGGAGGCAGGGAGCACCCACTGTGCCCTCCGTCTCGGGCAGGTTAGAAGTCGAGTCCGGTAGTATCACTGCGTTTCTGTCTTACGTGTGTTTTCACATCTCATAGGCAGTAGATGCCCGTGTTTTAAAGTCTTAAAGGACAGAAAAATGAACGCTTTTCCTATTTAGAAAAAAAGTGCAGCTCTCTGCCAGCATTAACATCACGCGTAGGAATGATACCTTTTCTAGGATTTGATGTTTTCTTCCATCGAGAATTACTCTCTTTTGTAAATGGAAATACCACTACTAAAACCAGAGTGCTACCAATAGAATGATGCCATTTGTTTCCAAAAACCATTGATCTACCAAAGCGATGTGAAAATAACAAGAGCGAGATATTTTGTGGCAAACTTTGGGGGTCAGGTTAGGACTGTGACCCATAAGAAGGGTACGCGGGGGAGTGTGAACCCCCTCCAGGCCCGCGCTCCAGGCCCCTTCCCGCAGGCAGTGGCTTCCCCAGTGGAGTGGCCTGCTGGACGCATGTTGCCACGCGTGCAGCTTGTAGCGCTGAGCGGCTCCTCCCGGCTGACAGCTGTGAATTCACATCATCCTTAACTCAAAGGCCTGCTGGGGCCGCATCTTCACACTGGAAGAGCTTGAGCATTAGCAGATGTTGAGAACATAGACCTTGTTCCGTGCTTTCGGGTTTGGGGGCTGGAGTTTCTGGCCATCTCCTAGGTGACTGTGACACCGCTGGGTCTGGCCTGCAATGTGGCACGATGATGGCTGCCCTCCTAGGATGCGGTGAACCTGAAGCTCGCCCTCCAGGCTGGTGAGGGTGCTCGGGCACTGAGCAGAGGACCGGGTGGTGTCTGGGGCTGGCGGGTGTGTCGGAGGCCGTGGGACAGAAACTCAGTGCCTGTGGAGACCGAGGCGCAGAAACCAGAGGCGGCCGGTCCCCGGGCCCGTGGCGCGGCTGCGTGGTGGTGCAGTGTCCCCAGCCGTCCCTCAGCAGGCGGTTTCCGCTGGCGTTTCACTTGTTTTGCTGTTTTAAAAAACGCTTCAGTGAATCATGTACAAATGTAACGAATCCCACTCACCCGTAGAAGTCCCCGAGATGAGCCACCAGGTCAGAAGGGACGTGCACTGTAGTCTAGGCAGAGGATCCCAGACGTGAGGTGCACTGTCCCACCCTGGGCGGCACAGGGGCCATCAGACCTGGGGACTTTCGAGGCCTGCCAGAAGGAAATTGGCGTCCTGTGTGCTTGGTGACGAGCGAGGGCAGGGACCTGGTATCCCTGAGAACCCGTGTCGCGTGAACTGGCTTCCCCACGGGCTTGTTTCCGTCCTCGTTCACTGTATCAGGGAACTTAGAGTCCCCGTTTGTTGTAGATGTTCCTTTCACATGGCCTTGGCCTTTTGGTGGCACATCATGTTGACCTAGAGCCACTTGGGGCCACGGAGGCGGGGTCAGCCTTTTCCTGGGCACTCGCCTCCCTGGCAGCTTTCCAAAGCCTGTGGTTTCTGCGCCGACTTCACACGTCGGGCCTTCCGGGGGACCTGACCTCCGGCGGTGTCTGAGGGGTGGCCCATGAGATAGGGAAGTTATGGGCAGGTCCCGTGGTCCCCAGAGCGCAGTGTGTCCCGCCACAGCATTTACAGCTCTTTCCAGCAGGTGCTTCGTTACCGCGGCTGCTTTAAAACTTCGCCTTGAAGGATTTGGAGGAAAAGCTGAGGTGGAAATTATAGGCAGTAACGATGCATTTCAAGGTCTCAGTTTTAAGTGACAGAGGGCAGAGAGCCTGTGAACTGGGCGGGTCAGGGAGACAGGCCTGGAACCAGAGCCAGAAAACGAGTGTTTTTGAACAAAAATGAGAATGCTGGGGTGACGGGATGTTTTTTGGTTCGGCGTGTCCATTTATTAATGAGAAATCTTACACACGACATCACACCATTTCATAAAACGCCCGTGTTGGAATAACAAAGGCCTCTGGGAGACGCAGCGCTCCGGGAGGTCAGACCCGGGTTCGTGTCACTGCAGGGCCCTGGTGGTGAGGGAGTCTGGCTGTTGGAGTGTCTGGCGTGGGGCAGCTTGGTGTCCTCGGGGCCGGGCGGGCAGCGAGGCCCCCACATGCTCAGCCTTGTTGAACCAGTGTGGCTCTCTGGAGGTGGGCATGGGGTCACCAGCTCCGCTACTCAGGGTGCTCCCCGACTGGCAGAGGGGAGGGGCAGGCTGGCCCGGGGACCCGAGGGCCCACTGGGCTGTGTGCCTGCTCACCCCATGGAGGCGGCGAGGCAGGGAGACCCGGCAGAGGCCGAAGATTGGTGGGGCCTCTGCCTTTGCCCCTGGGGCAACACGGCTGCCCCGACTGTCCTGTCTGATGGCCTGTGTCCCCCCCGCTTCTGCAGCCTGACTCCTGGACCCGAACCCCCAACCCCCCACCATACTGAGCCCCTTCTGGAATCATTGCCAGGCCGAATGTAACGTGTGCAGCTGAAAGCCCCCAGCGGGGACAGAGGACAAGATCCCAGTGCCATTCTGTGCTGCGAGGGTGGGAGGGGTGTGGTGGCCGGTCGCCCCCCAGGCGGGGGCACTCCGTGCAACCCAGGCCCAGTGCCCGGAGGGCTGTCCCGGCTGTTCCACAGGGCTGTGGTCGCACTGTCACAGCCGCTCGGGCGCCCGTTGGAACGCGTACGAGTGGCTGCCACGGCACGGGCCGTCGCTGAAGTCACAGCTCGGCGTGCCGATGCACCCCGCCCCCAGCCTGATTGTCTGCTTTTTGTCCCGTTTTCCCCACGTTTACGCCTTGTGCCTCCTGCAGCTCCACGGGTGAGCGGGGGAGGTTCAGCCTGAGGCCTCCTCCCCGGCCTTTTCTGTCCTTTTGTCCCTTTGCTCCCCAGAAGTGCAGCGTCCTGTTTGGTCCTCGTGTTGGGGACGTAACTCCTGTAAGCTTCCCTTCCCGCTTGCAGCTGACGTCTGGAGCTCAGCCGCAGTGAGTTGGGTGCCGTCTGCATGGGTATTGGGTCTTTTTTGGGAAAGCGGGTCCACTGCCGCCCCCTCGGGTGACAGGAAAGCAGGCACTGCGTCTCTCCTGGGAGGACGCAGCGGCGTAGATGAAGGGACGTGTGTGTGAGGCGATGGCACAGCTCGTATCTAACGCAGAAGGGAGGGGAGTCCAGGCCCCTGCCTGGGAGAGCACGTTTGCTGCTTGGAAGGGTTAGCGGTAGAACTGAAAGGTGACAACGGGAAGCAGCCTAAATCCTGTCCCCTGGAGCGGGGGGCGTGGCCACGCTCCTGCGTAGGACCTGGCACCTTATTTCTCACTCCGACGCTGTTATTGGACCAGCTCATAGATGAGCCAGATCCGTGAGTCTGGACCGAGGATGGAGCATGCTCATCTCTACAGGCCGAGCTGGGAGGCGTGCCAGTGACGGGTCAGCCTCCAGAGCTGCCTGACGGAGCATGACGGGTGCCGGGTGGCCGCGTCCCCGTGCCGTGGTCCACCCTAGCTCTGGGTACCGGGTGGTGCTGGCTCGGGTGTCGTGCACGAGTAGCGAGCATGCAGTACCTGGTCCAGTTTGGCAGAACCGGCCGTGGATCGTCCTGGAGGGCGGCCTGGAGTGTGACTCGGTCCCGGGTGGGCAGCTGCAGGAGCAGGAGGGCCCCTGGGTGCTGGGTGCCGCTGGCTTCAGCATTTTTCGCGGCCGGCCAGTGTCGTCCCCAGACGCGCAGGCGCAGTGCCAGCCCGAGAGGCAGCCCCCGTGCTTCGTTAGGACAGCCCCCATGCAGCGAAGTCCAGAGGGTTCCCCACCGAGCACCCGGCACACCGTGCCGAGTCTGCTGCTCGGGGCACGTTTTTTAAAGAAAAAAAATAACAGGGAAATTTGTCTAAGGCACTGGCTTTGTTTATGTTCGCATTGCTTTATTTTTCCGGACTGCCTTTGGTGATGGGAAAGGTGGCGAGGGGCAGGGCTGACGCTGCCACCAGACGTGTGGCTCGCAGGTCTGTGGCGGGACGCTGTGCCGGCCTGTGAGCAGCAGTGGCGTCTCTGGCTCCTAGGACTGTGGTGAGGCGGTGCACAGCCCTGACGTTCACAGCCTCAGAGGAGAAGGTTTTGGTGGCCGACAAGTCTGGGGACGTGTACTCCTTTCCAGTGCTGGAGCCACACGGATGCGGCAGACTTGAACTTGGGCATCTGTCGATGTTGCTGGATGTGGTAGGTGGGCACGGCGGGCCCTGGGTGGGCGTGGATCCCGCAGCAGGGACGGCCTGCTGCGGATTTGTGGGGTGGGCGATGCTGGCAGCAGGGCGAGTTAGGAGGGAGCGGGGGCTCCGGACCGGACTGCCAGCCTCGTCTCTGTGACGAGGTGCGGGCTGTGGGAAGAGCAGGTGCGGTCACGGGGCCTGAGCTCGTCCTCCGTGCTTCACAGGCGTCACCTTGGTGTCCTCCCAGCCGGAGGCACCGAGAGCCCATGGCCCATGAGCACAGGCTCAGCCGCAGGTGGTGGAGTTGGGGTGGGTGTCCCTGGGGACACTCAGGAATGATGGAAAAGACACGTCACCAGGACTCGGTGACTGGCTGGACACAAGGTGGCTGTGAAGTAGGAAGGAGAGGGAGGTGACAGGTGCTGGAGATGACGGGCATCTGTGCGAGGCCTGGGGCTGGAGACAGAGGTCTGGGGCGGGGAGGGGGCCGGCTCTGGCCATCCCGACGAGCCATCTGTTCCCTCTCACCTGCCGCACAGGCCGTGAGCCCCGATGACCGCTACATCCTCACCGCCGACCGGGACGAGAAGATCCGGGTGAGCTGGGCCATGGCGCCACACAGCATCGCGTCCTTCTGCCTGGGGCACACGGAGTGAGTCGCCCGCCTGCCCTCTGGCCGCCCGGGGAGGGAGCCCAGGTTAAAGCACCGGGGAGCCCCTCCAGCGGTTCCCCTGGTGTGGAGGCAGAGGTGGCTCTGTGACCCCTGGGCCTCATGGGGGGCCGTCGGTGTGCAGCTCTACTCCCGGGTGAGCACTCATGGCCGGCCAGCCACATTGCCAGGAGAGGTCCCCTCGTGGGCTCTGAGGCCTCAGGGTGGAGTCACTGTGGATAGCACTGTTGTCGGCCCGCAGCAGCCCGCAAGCACCAGCCGAGGCCTGTCGCCCCACCGCGGTGGCCGGGGGCTCGCTCTGGAACACCCCTGCTTTCTCAGTGTGGACACCCCGCAGTGGTCAGCGGTCACTAGGTGGTGCGTTGAGGACGAGGAACGCGCTTTAGTGATTTTACCTGTCTGAGAATACATAGCCTCCGAGCCGGGCACTTGTCACTTGCTTTGGGGACTCCGACTTCCCGTGAGCCCTTTCGGCACCTGGATTTCTGTGTTCTATCAGAAGTGTTTCTGGGGTCCCCTGCTGCATGGGCAGAAGCCTGTCGAGCACAGAGGAAAAGCATGTAGTTTAGCTGAAATGCTTTAAAATACCTTATTTGAGGCAGTCGAAGACACAGAAGGATTTCTGAGACTGTTTCTGTCTCCTTGATATCAATGGAGCCTAAAAACTGGCCTTTAAGAAGGTTGGTGGCCGTTTAGTCTGCGCCTTGTGGCAGCTTAGTTTGGCTTTTCTGCTGTTCTCTAGTGACGCGGCGCCCAGCGTCTTCCGGCCTGCACGCCCTCCGCCCTCGGCCCGCTGCACTGTCGCTGGGGTCTTGGGTGCTCGGGAGGCCCCTGGCGCCCCCCTGCGGCAGGGCCTTGCCCGTGCCGGGGTTGCTGCTGGCGGGCACGCTTCACAGCTCTGCACGTCCCTTCGCTCCCTCGGCTTCCCGCCACCTGCGTTCTCAGGCCTCCCCGACCCCGGCAGAGGATCCCCCTCCCAGCCCGTCCTCTCTGCTCTGCTTCTGTGCGGCCTGCGCCTCCCGTACGGGAGCCGCGAGCCGCGCTGGTCATTCTGAGGTGGGACGGCCAGGGGTGTAAAACTCCCCACCGCAGGGGACGTAAAACAGCTCACCGCTGCTGTGTCACTCACCGCACATCGGAGCGGTGGCTCTGCGGATGCGTCGAGTCGCCTGAAAACGTCATGTGGCGGCTCATTTTCCCGCCTGGCCTTTCGACACAGTCACTAGCAGCACGTTCAAGGTGACACGGGCGCTGTGTCGTGCCGGCCCTCGCCGTTCCCAGCGCTCCGCCGACAGACACGCCCTGTCTGCTGCTGTCTCTGCGGCCCCCTGCCCGGGGCCTGTGTTGGGCGTGTCTCTTCCTGTCCCCAGACCTCAGCACAGCCTGGCACGGGGCAGCGCTCAGTGAGGGAATGACGGGTCACAGTGACTTGTGAGACTCTTTGGAAACTCTGGTTTGTGCCGCTTTCCTGTTGAGAGTTTGGGGCGACTCGCCTCTTCTGTGGTGACGTGCCCCCCCCATCACAGTGGACACTGACAGCATTGATCCTGCGACACGGACTTGTCCCCATCTGAGCTCCCGAGACTAGGGCCTCAGGCACTCTCAGGAGGGTGGCCTGGTGGGGTGGCTGCGGCCAGGACCGGGCCCAGGGCCGCTGGGGCGAGGGCGGGCACGGCACCTTCGCGGGGGTCCTGGAGCCCATGTGTCCGTGACCCAGCTGTGTCCCCGTCGCGGTGGAGGCTGAGTCATGACCCCCCAACCTGAGCCGGGTGTCTGGGGTAAGGAGTCGGAGGGGCGGCGGGTCCGATTCTGGCCGTGGACAGTGTTGCTCTTGCTCCGTCCCCAGTGGCCTTCGTGTCTTGTTTCCCCCGTGGGCCCCGATGTCGTGGCCCTTCAGTGCGGGTCTCTGGGCAGCTCAGAGCAGCACAGACCCTTGTGGACCCTCTGGTGGGTGTGGCTGGGGCACATCTGGACCTAAGGGCTGCCCGTGCTTGGGGCTCCTGTGTTGCTGGGGCCCCAAGAGCAACAAGGCTGCGTGCTGCCCGGGCTTCCTCCTCGCCACTCACGAGGTGACACACGTTGCTCAGTTCAGTTCTTGTTGGAGGTCAGGTTTGGGGAGGCGGCTTCCCTCTGAAGTGAGGGGCGCCGTGGGGAGGTGATGGCAGCACTGGAACCCTGCTCACTGTGCTGCTCCGCGCTGCAGGTTCGTGAGCCGCATCTTCGTGGTACCCGACCACCCCCAGCTGCTTCTGTCCGCTTCCGGGGTGAGTGTGCCCTGGTTCTGCCCCTCCCCCCCCGGGGTGAGTGTGCCCTGGGTCTGTCTCCCCCCGGGGTGAGTGTGCCCTGGGTCTGTCCCCCCGCCCCCCCGGGGTGAGTGTGCCCTGGGTCTGTCTCCCCCTGGGGTGAGTGTGCCCTGGGTCTGTCTCCCCCC